TTCAAACAATGTTGGATGGCGTTTCTTTTCCCCACATGAGCATATCGTTTGAGACGTCCTGGAGTTGGATACCCATAGGTGCAGGTAGTGCACAAAAGTTAGATGTAATCAGGCCGGCTCCTTTCCAAAATTGGGCCCTAGCATGGACTTTCTTAGCAGCGACAGTTACGAGGCTGCGGGGCGATTCCTCTGCAAAGCGAGATCGTCGTTTCAGATCTTTGGGAACTTGGTGACCCCACCCTGTCGCATTCCTTCTGTGGCTCGAAGGAAGGAGGGCAGTTGTTTCCCCAAACGGAGCTCCCGCCTGAATTGCGTGGGGCGCCCGTCTCTTGAGGAGGTGCTTCACGCGGTGAACAGAAGGCTCGTGGGGGCGAGGGATTGTGTCGCTGCAGGGTTGGCACATCGCAGCGAGGGGGGAAGGATGACAAGGTCGACGGAGGCACGAATCGGGAGGGATGACGGAGGAGGGAGGGCGGAATCGGAGAGGCGAGGCGAGGAGGGAGGGCGCAGAGCAGGCGGGAGGAGGCAGGAGCAGGGAGGGAGCGAGGGAGGAGCGAGGAGCGGAGAGGCGAGGGAGGAGTGATTCCAAGCCAGTGCTTCCCACCTCGAGGGCCCCATTGGCCAGGGGGTGCGCTGACGAGCCCGCCGCCCCGCCGTCCCTCCCTCCTCCTCCTCCTCCTCCTCCTCCTCCTCCTCCTCCTCCTCCTCCTCCTCCTCTCCTCCTCCTCCTCCTCCTCCTCCCTCCTCCTCCTCCTCCTCATCCTCCTCCTCCTTTTCCTCCTCCTCCTCCTCCTCCCTCCTCCTCCTCCTCTCCTCCTCCTCCTCCTCCTCCTCCTCCTCCTCCTCCTCCTCCTCCTCCTCCTCCTCCTCCTCCTCCTCTTCCTCTTCCTCCTCCTCCTCCTCCTCATCATCATCATCAGCAGCAGCAGCAGCAGCATCAGCATCAGCATCATCATCATCGTCATCGTCATCATGATCATCATCATCATCATCATCATCATCATCATCATCATCATCATCATCATCATCATCATCATCATCATCATCTTTCTCCTACTCCTCATCCTGCATCCTCCTCATCATCATCATAATCATATTTATTATCATCCTTCTTCTCCTCCTTCTCCTCCTCCTCCTCGTCATCATCATTATCATAAGCATAATCGTCACCATCATCAAAAATAACATCAACAATAACATCATCATCATCATCATCATCATCATCATCAGTATCGTCATCGTCATTGTCATCGTCATCAGAATCCACCTCGTCATCATCATCGTCGTCGTAGCCATCATCATCATCATCAACAACATCAACATCAGCATCAGCATCTTCATTGTCATCATCATCACCATCATCATCATCATCATTATCATCATCATCCTCATCATCATCATCATCATCAGCATCATCATCATCATCATCATCATCATCATCATCATCATCATCATCATCATCATCATCCTTCTCCATCGCCACACTCCCTCGCTCCTCTACCCCTCCTGCCCTCCCGACCCCGCCCAAAGGACCAAGATTGCGTCCCGCCGCAGCTGCAAGAGCTGCGTGGCCAGCGGCGCGACGCAGAAGTAGCCCGCCGCGGCGGCTGCTGCGGGCCGCCGCGCCTGCGACGTGTTCGGCGACCTGCGGCTTGCTCCTTGCAGGACCTCGCCATCCTCGCCATCGCCCGCGCCCTCGGCTTTCATACTATTTGATGGGTTTTCCTGCCGCGGGATGCGCTCCCGCAGCTGCGCTTCGCCGAGCGCGTTCCGGGCGTGCCCGCGAGCGTGCCGGGCGCGCCCGAGGTGTCCCGAGCGGCCGCCGGAGACCCGAGGTGTGACCCGAAGACCGTGGCAGGTGCGGCCGTCGTGCCACTCTTCAGAAGGAACGCGGAATGGGAAACGAAGAAGTGCTTCTGGCCAGGGCGAGCCTCGGCCACGCAGAGGCTCTCCGACCCAGCTCTGAGGAGCGGCACGACTGCAGTTGGGGGCCCATGCCAAGAAGCACCCTGCTTACCTCCGGGGTGCCCTGGGTTTCGACGGTTTTGCTGTGGAGAGCGCGGCGTTCCCACACCAAAAATCGATGGGCGTCCTGGGGTCTCAGGGCTGGGTTTCTTGTGGAAGGTTTCTTGTAGTCGGGCCCCTACTGTACCAGGGCCCCTCCTGGGCCCACAGCCATCCTCATCTCAGCGCCTTGGCTGCAAGAACAGAAGGCTGCCCAAGCACAAGCTTTTGAACGTCCGCGCGGACTTGGTGTGTCGACGCTGGGTTTTCCCCTCCCCGCCACCCCTCTCGGCACCCAAGGCGCCGCCCCTGCGCCAGGGAGGGGGGGGAGAGGTGGCCAGCGCTGACACAAGAAGTCCGCGCGGATCTCCGAAAGTTTGTTCCTCCATCGCCTTCGGAGCAGGAGGAGGAGGAGCAGTAGCAGCAGGACCCCTTGACCTGGCGCGTGCTTGCACGGAAGAGATAAAGGGGAATCGGCGGCCGTGCCCGCCCACTTGCTGTCCTCTCTGCGAGTCGTCCTTGCCGCCAGGAGGCAGCGACGAATCTCAGCGAGGCCCCTTGAGGCCCCGTGTGGGCCGACATGGGTTCGGCGCCGCCATGCGGACCCTGCCGCTGGGGCGTTTAGTGGAGACCCCTTATGAGGCTACTAAACGTGAGAGAGGTGTGCCGACATGTGTCTGGCGCCAGAATGCGGGCCCTGCGGCCTTCCATGTGGACCCTGCCATTGGGGCGCGTTGTCGACTAATTTCCTTTGGGGGCACAAAACGGGCGAGGGGTGTGCCGACATGGGTGCGGCGCCGCCATGCGGACCCTGCTGCTGGGGCGGGGCTCCCGATAGGTCTACAAAACGTGCGAGAGGTGTGCCGAAATGTGTGCGGCGCCGCCATGCGGGCCGCTGGGAGGTTCGGTGGAGCTCCCTATTTGGTTACGAAACTTGTAAATGTGTGCCGACATGGTTGCGGCGACGCAATGCGGACCCTGCCTTTAGGCGTTCAATGGAGCCCCCATGCGGGGCCACGAAACGTGTGAGGGGTGCGCCGGCATGAGGCAAGATCGGTAGGAAGGAGGAGGGAGGAGGAATGAGGGAGGAGGATTTAGCGAGACTCGGGGCAAGGGGGCGCCCCTCGCAACGAAAAAAAATGTCAGTGGACTTGTGATGAAGAAACTTCGGATGAGAGGGCTTACTCTGGTGCGAATTTCCGTGCTCCGCCTCCCCATTGTCGTACCACTTCTCTTCCTGATGTTATTGCTGCTGCTCCTCCTTGTCCTTCTCTCCCTCGCGCCCCGCTCCTTATCATCTCCTCTTCTTGCTGCTGCATCCCCTTCAGCTTCCTCTTAGTCTCCTTATCCTTATCATCCTCTCCCCTGGGAGCGTGGCGCAGGAGCTGTCGTCGGGTGTCGGATGCTGTCAGTTATTGCTCTCGCCCCCCCCCCCTCCCCGCGACACACCGTTCGCTGTGTTGCTCCAAGCCCATAGGCTTCCTTTGACACGTGAAGATTACGACGGCCGCTGTCTCAATGTGGGTGCCTGGAAGCCCTTTTTCGACTACACGTAAGAGTGACCCTTCGCAGGAGTGATCTTTAGTGCCAGCCCACTGTGGTCTCCAGATCGATGAATGCGATGCGATAGCAGCGCATTGCGTGCCTGTGTTTGACGCCCCCGCGCCCCCCCGAAAGCCGCGCACCAAACAACGCTCGGGCCTAGGGTCACTCCTGCGTGAGGCCAAGTCCCTGAGCTCAGGAGGTTCGCATGTTGGCTCAGTGAAAGATATGATCCTGGGAAACGCGTCGAAGGTTCCAGGACCCAGCGGCTCGAGCAAATCGGGTCCTGGGAGGCCGGAAGTCGCTCGCTCAGGCCCCGCAAGTTTGCCACCTGGCTCGTGACGAACTCCTTTCCCTCCTCCTCATCCTCCTCCTCCTCCGCCTCCTCCTTCTCGCAGTCCTCCCTCGTCCGCCCCCCCGTCCCACCTTTGTGTTCCTCCAGGACGATCCGCCCGCACGGTGGTGCTGCAGACCCGCCCGCTGACTGTGGCGTCGGTGGCGGAGGGCTGCGGGCACCCCGCCCAAGTGCACGGCCGCTCGGCGCTTCGCCGCGTGGCCCGTCTCCAGCGCAGAGACCTGAGGGTCCGTCGGCCGTGGAGGGCCGCGGAGTTTCCCGGCACTAAGGATGGAGCAGATGCAGCAGATCTTGCCGAGTTATCGATGGCGGACTGGAGGAGGAAAGCAGGGGGCGGAAAGGATGTGGGTGCCAGCGACGTTCTCCGAAGGCATCGTCGCGGGGGCGGCTGCGTTTCGTTCCATACCCATTTTTGTTGCTGCTCGCCACTTGTCAGGCAACTGAGGAATGGCAGCCCTGGCCATCCCTGGCCAGGGATATGCGGGACATCGTCGCTGCCTCGCGCGCCGCGAGCGTGCACTCGGCAAGCGGCCGTGGTGTCAAAAGCGATTGCAACCCCATTTACTCGTCTTGCTGCCACTGCTCCCCATCCACCAGTGCACCATCCAAGCGCTGCTCTCGTCTCATCCCCGCACTTGCACGTACAAAAGGTGTGTCACCAGCGGCGCCAAACACGCGAGGCCTTGCCCACCCGCTCACGATACATCTGGCATGGTTTACAGTGTAAGGAAGAGGAGGGGATGAGGAGGACGAGAAGGGGAGGACGACGGGGACGAGGAGGAGGAGGACGGCGAGTGCTTGTCATCGAGGCACTGGACGCTTCTTGTGGTAGACAGCAATATGTGGTGTCCGATGGGACCGTCGGTTTGACTGCTGCTGTGAGCGTATGGTGTTTTGTGGTGTTTGATCCACGCCCGTACCGAAGGCTGTCATCAGGAGCCACGTGCCCATTGTTCATGTTGTCAAGTGCGCGCGCTCTGATTGTCGTAAGCGTACGCCCTGATGGACGAAGCGTCTCGTAAAACGCCCAGGGAGAGACTCGTTTGCCTCTTTCGCCAATCTTTGTTGCGCCTGTCACCTGCCGCCCGCCGAGCCCGATGCAGAATCGAGTCCACAGGCGTACTCCTCGAGTGCCCTGGATTCTGTCCCTCGGCCCCTGGTCGCCCGCGCCGCTCCGTGCGTCCCCCGCGTCGCTGCCGCCAGGCCGAGCTGAACCCGTCAAAGTACAAGTCCGACCGCCGGAAAGTGAAGCTCGCCAGAGAGCTCAGCGCTACGTGGAGGAAGAGGCCGCGTGTACGTCGCATAGTGGGCACGTACTTAGTGCCCTCAAGGGTTCGAGATGGTCGTTGCTGCGACTGCGCTCAGCCGACGCAGACCGTGCTCTCTGAGCGTGACACGTGTCAGAGCGGTCGCCCCGTGTTCGCTGCAATTCGCTCATATCGCGTACAGTTTCATCGTTCTTCCGTTCGGAGATGGCCTCGGAGTTTATCAGGCCGCAGCCCAGAATATGCAGTAGCACCCCGCAATTGCGGAGAAGAGTGAGGGGGCTGGCGCGGGATGGGTCGCGGGTGGGTCGCCGGTGAGTCGCGGGTCGGTCGAGGGGTGGGTCGCGGGCATGTCGCGGGTGGGTCGCGGGTAGGTCGCGGGGGGACGATGACAACGACGACGATGACGACGACGACGACGACGTCGATTCCGACGACGACGACGACAACAACCAATATGTAGAATCCAGGCCATAGAATCCAATCTCATCCACGCGCCCAGGAGTGGTATAAGACCATTCGGCCCCTTCACTCTGATAATTCCGAGGGGGTACTGATGATTGCGGGGGAACGGCGACGGGAATGAATACGCGATGGGAGTCCGAGGCAAGAGTAAGAGTGATGATTCTGTGGATGTCTTCTCATCGAAATATGTCGTATTGTTGTTTCAATTGCGTTCCAGTGGTTGTTGTTGTCAGGCATTGCACTGGTCAGCGGATCCGGGTGATGCTGATTCCAGGTTTAGCGTTGTTTCAACGGTGACAAGCCTAATTGATCTTTCCTATTCGCTCGACCCCTATACTGCCTGCAACATTTGGAGTTCATTCTGCCGAACGGACCTTCATCATGTTGTCAAGAAGCTATGCGATTTGGCGTTGCCTGGTAGATTCATTAGCGTTGATAATTGCATATGTTGCCGCATATCTCACGCCTCCAAAGACGATTCGCGAAGATGCCGTTACACCGTTTCGGGGTATGTTGAAGGCACTGGGATGCCCGTCCTTGATTTCGCGTTCGCCTGGAATAGCATTTTGGGCGAGTGGATGTTTCAATGGTCCGCCCACTTAATTCGACAACAATGATTCAGCGCGGTTTGCATAAAGAAATTTTTATGTCAGCCGCAGATTCGCGAAGAGCTCGGTGCGATCATTCATATACTATTACGCGCGGCTTCTCCACATTGGCATTTCGATCTAACACAATGCAAACATTGGTACGCGAAGCAAAGTGGAACAGAAAATGTATGTTCACGAGTGCGCCGTGTCCACGGCGCGTGGTTGAACATGGATGCTGCAACGCCAATGCCACCATAGATGTGATCGCCTTGGCATTATCATGTTTACGAGCGCCCTCTGGATAAATACATCAAGAAAGACGGTTTGGGTGATGTTGGTTGCGATCGGTTGTTATATGTTCGGTGACTGGTGTTGGAACGTTCAGGCCTAGCACGCGCGCTGTTTGTCATACGGTACCGAATGCTGGGGGGCAAGAACGTAGCGTCACCAAACGGGAGAGCGGTGTGGGTTTCTTTTCGTGTTGCGTGTAACGCGAGTGCGGGCGAGGCACCGTTGCGCGAGAGGACGAGAGGAGTAATTGTTTGCACCTCAGGCTGAGTCAGACAACCTTCCAAACCTTTCGCGTATCACCAACAGCCCATGCAGAAATTGTCCCAAGGCAAGTTGCATTGACAAGGGAAGCGTAGGCGCATGCAGTGGAACAAAGAGGGCACGGCCGTCAATCCGAAGAGTTGGATCAGCTTGACCAGGTCCAGCAATTAACCACATAATATGCCTTCGCGGTTTTTGTCGAATATGGAAGAGGCGGAGGAGAAAGTATGAGGAGGAGGCAGAGGAATGAAGGGAGGAAGAAGAGGAATATGAAAGCGTAGGACTGCGAGCCGAGGACAGATGAGTTTGACACAGTACGTCCGCGTTCAATATCTGATGCGGAAGGAAGACGAACAGGAGTAAGATGCGGATGACGACGAGGAGGGAGAGGATAAGGAGTAGAAAGTGGAGGAGGAGGTGGGGGGAAGCAGGAGAAGAGGAGGAGAAGGATGGGGAAGGAAGGAGAAGGCGACGGCGACGACGACGGTTCAACCAAGAAAGGCGATGGAGCTTCTTCGAACCACTTTGGATCTTTGTTCGGGCAATAGTGTGTGCTTACGATGCCCTTTTGGGGGTCTCGTGGAATCTTCTGCGTGGCACCTTCTCTCGTGGTCTCGTGAAGCTCCGGCTGGGGCCATCTTGGAGAGCATTGGGCCAGCAAGGGGGTGGTGCGGGTTGGGGCCACCCCTCTTGATTTCGAGAAGATGGTTTCTGGGATACCTTGTATGACGCTCTTGGGCGCTCTAAGGGCCGTATTGAAGCCCCCTCTTTTGGGCCGCGTTGGGGCAACTTTTAAGCCTCAGGAGCCCATTGCAAGCGAAAAGGCGAACCCACAAATCATGGGCGTTCCTGCGGTACTGAACTTCCTTGCTCACACAGTCAGTACATTGCTAGAGAGATGGGGACATGACCCGCTCGTGATCTTTCGTGGCATCCACGGCGGCCATGGCACTACGAACGGCGTCGGCGAGGTCCCCGTTTAATTTCCAATTTCGCTCCGAAGCGGTCGCACTACATCAGAATGTCGCCAAACTTCTGGTGCTACTGCAGGATTTCGGACCGAACAGTTACGTATTTTCGAACCGAAAAACACATACCAGCTCACTTTCGCATATCGGCTTCGAAACTAGATCATCGTTTCGATACTGCTGGGAGCGCCATTGATTTTCAGATCCAACGAGCCGACGACATGTTTCTTTCACACATGCATCCGTGACCCGTCGGCCGCTTTTCTTCGACATTTGAGCGGCGCCTATTGCGTATGCCGACGTGTATATTGCGAGCCCCGAAACGGACGTGTCGCAGCAGATCAGGATCTCAGGTTCCACCATCGTATCCCGAGCAGCGATCGCGTCCTGATTCGCAAGCGCCTTCCGTCCATGGCGCGAGAGGTGGACCGCGGACCCAGAGGTTTGCATGTTTTGTTGGCCCGGGCGGGCAAGGAGGGCGAGCGCGACCATCCGAAGGCGACAAGATTTGTCGCGGCTACGTGCGGATTACGTTTGGACAATAACGCTTGATAGACATGTACGTATACAATTTAAAACGTGACATCTACTGCGAGTGTTTGCGTGTTCCGATTGCAGACAAACGCGCGTGATACCAGTGTCCGAGCCGACGAAATCCTAGACGCTTCGCGTATCCCCACCAGCCCGTCCAGAAATGAGTCACAGGGGAGTGGAGGTTATGAGGGAAGCGGGGGAGCATGCAGAAGAACAAAGGGCGGGGTGAGCCGCCATATACCCCAAGAGGGGGAGGATGTAGGAGGAGCCGTCGTCGTCGGAGTAGGAGGAGGAAGAGGAGGAGCAGGAGGAGGAGCAGGAGGAGGAGGAGGAATAGAAGGAGGAGGAGATGGAGGACTGCGAGGACGAGGAGGACGAGAAGGAGGAAAAGGAGGAGGAGGAGGAGGAGGAGGAGGAGGAGGAGGAGGAGGAGGGGGAGGGGGAGGAGGGAGGAGGAAGAAAAAAGGAGGAGGAGGAGGAGGACAATGGCGAGCTTGGGGGCCTCTTGGGCCGTCTTTGGGGCCTCTTGGCGGTCCCGGGGGCCTCTTGCGTATCTCGGGGAGCCTCTTGTGGCCTCTTGGGGGTCTCTTGGGGGCCTCTTGGAGGCCTCTTGGGGGCCTCTTGGGGCCTCTTGGGGCTCTCTTGGGGCGCTCTTGGGGCGCTCTTGGGAGCCTTCGAGGCGCTCTTGGGGCCATCTTGGAGGAGATCTATCAAAGAAGGGGGGGTTCTCAATTAGCGCTGCCCCTCTAGAGTGCCTCGAATCGCTTCTTGGGCCCTTCTTGAGGCCAAAATCTTTCCAAAACCTAGGTAGAATCAATGTTTTGTGTTTTGTCGCCTTTTCGCTCTTGGAGCCGTCTTGGGCCGTCTTGGGAGCCTCTTGGGCCTCTTGGAGGTCTCTTGGGAGCCTTTTGGAGGCCTCTTGGGCGCCTCTTGGGGCCTCTTGGGGCGCTCTTGGGGCGCTCTTGGGGCGCTCTTGGGAGCCTTCGGGGCGCTCTTGGGGCCATCTTGGAGGAGATCGATCAAAGAAGAGGGGGTCCCCAATTAGCGTTGCCCCTCTAGAGTGCCTCGAGTCGCCTCTTGGGCCCCCCAAGAGGCCAAAATCCTTCCAAAACCTAAGGTAAAATCATTGTTTTGTTGCTTTCTCGCCTTTTCGCTCTTGGAGCCGTCTTGGGCCATCTTGAACTCTCTTGGGGCCTCTTGGGGGTCTCTTGGCAGCCTCTTAGAGGCTTCTTGGGGGCCTCTTGGGGTCTCTCGGGGCCCTCTTGGGGCGCTCTTGGGGCGCTCTTGGGAGCCTTCGGGGCGCTCTTGGGGCCATCTTGGAGGAGATCTATCAAAGAAGGGGGGAGCTCCAATTAGGGTTGCCCCTCTAGAGTGCCTCGAAGCGCCTCTTGGGCCCCCCCAAGAGGCCAAAATCATTCCAAAACCTAGGTAGAATCAATGTTTTGTGCTTTCTCGTTTTTTCGCTCTTGGAGCCGTCTTGAGCCATCTTGGGCGCCCTGACACCTCGCGAGACGCTTCGTCCAGGTCAGTGGGGAGGGGTAAGGGGAGGGGTAAACCCCTCCCCGAAGGGGAAGAAGGGGGGTTGGCAGAGGAAACTCCCTAGACCACCTACGCCCTAAAGGGCTGGTGGGATTCGCCGCTTTCGTGGTAGCCCTCGGGAAAAGTACAGAGAAAGCATATGGCGGCGTGTGCCAGGTATCATGGCATCAGTAAAACTGTATACATTAGTTTCAAAATCCAGAAGAGTAAAAATAGTAATCCCACCAGCCCTTTAGGGCGTAGGTGGTCTAGGGAGTTTCCTCTGCCAACCCCCCTTCTTTCCCTTCGGGGAGGGGTTTACCCCTCCCCTTACCCCTCCCCACTGACCTGGACGAGGCGTCTCGCGAGGTGTCAGGGCGCCCAAGATGGCTCA